TTCTTTGGTTGTCGATAAGATTTTGAATCTCATGACGTAGGCAAAAGCATCGGTCTTGTTTCATGGCCATGTTGTTGATGGAAAGCACAATATTTGGTGGGATTCGTGCATTGGGGGAAGAGGGTTTGGAAGTGGTCGAAAGTTCTTGGGGTTTTAGATGCCCTTTTTTATTAACACTGGATGGCTCGAGATAGAGTCATGTAGAGCTGGTTAAAAAGTTTCTGCCCGGAGGGTGCGAGAGGGTTGGAAGTTTATAGCCCGTGTTGGCAAAGGGAATCGACAGTTTTGGTTATAGTACAACACTCACTTCTGAACGGCCTCAGATAGTTGTGCTAACCTTCGACAGCATTGGAACTAACAGACAAAAAGGCCTCTTGGCTGGCTTATCCTTGTCATCAGTGAAATGATCTCTGCTTCATTACTCTTTCGATTTGAACCTCCATTTCAATAAAGTTCCTTAAAGGTAATAAGGGGAGAACGATCATTTTCCTATAATAAGCTTACCAATGAAAGGTTCCGAACAACCGCATTCTAGATTTGGTCTTCTCTAAGGGTTGAGTTGGTCATCATTGACAGCTTTGACCTTGCATACTAAGTTACAAATCGGAGAAACCTCTAATTGTTGCAATTAAATACGAGTTTGCGACCCTCGATCTGTGTGTTGTAGGAGCATTGAGCAATGAAAGATCCCGACCAATTCCTCTCAATTTCTGTCTTCACAGAATCCCTCCAACTTAGCGTACTAGATGGCAGCTATTCCTGGCATGGTTTTGGCTGAAGAGTGATAACTTCTTGCAGATCTGGTCAAATCCATTGGTCGTAGGATATAAGAAAATAGCCCATAGATTTACAATTAGGTCTCGCGGCACCGTCCGAAGCGGTCCATATGCGACATTTTGAACCGGCTTCAGCAAAGTAACTAATTATTCGATATACCCATCCTCCCACTATCTAGAATGGAGTTAACCCTCTGTGCTTTTTGAATTAGTTTTTTCCAGTTTGTTGATTTTGAGCGCGGTCGAGTTAGCCTGAAACTCAAAAGGTGCCTTCAGTCTGATAAATTGGGGGTGAGCAGGAGACAGGCTTAGACCATTTGTGATGGATGGGATCTGCTTAGACGGAAAAAACCTAAAACACCCTCAGTTTGTGGGTGCCTGAGTTGTAGCAACTTGCAGAGGTACAGGTATGAGGATAGTGACATTAGGTGTAATGCGAAGGTCAGAAAGTCGTAGCTGGCTACGGTTGTTGTTGTTAGTTGTAGTTTATTGTGACCTCAACTTAACGGGTCACATCGTGTTACGAGTGAGTTGAATGACTGCTGCGATGGAGTAGTAATTTCTTTCCCAAATTAGATGGCGATACTGAGCCCTTTTTTCTGGGAGTAGATGGTTGCTGCTTGAGGCGAACTGAATGTAGGTGAGACTGAGGAGTGATTGCTAAAAGAACTGCACTAGTGAACTTTTGGCTAACACTTCTTCGCCGTTTGCAACTGGTGAGCAGTGGGCAAAGCATGGTTGTCCGCCGAACAGGATCTCCGACCTTACAAAGTTTTTCCACACACACGGGTCCAGAGTACTTGGGGATATCAGTACTTTCTGAAGCTATGTTTTTAAAGCTACGTAGCACAAGGAAATAAAGAACAGAGAAACAAAATCAGAAATCGACAGCACCTCAACCTTAAGATTTCAATAGAACATATATGATCAAAGCTGTAGGATGTACTCCCCACTGAATTCTGTCCCAAATAGATACCCAACTGTAACACTGATACAGAGCCTTCTTGTAAGTTCATATAAAGCACATCCCAGGTAAAGAGAACCAAAACACCCCTATGAGGAGGGTAGGGTTACCCTGCCGTTGGGATTTTTGACATGAACTAAGGGTTTCACTACTTCAGCAAGTTAGTTTCACAAAATCCTGTATACGGGTGAGCCATCCTAACGGGTGACATCTTGTCCTATGTTGGAACAGTCACTATGGCTTTACTAATATAGTAGCTAGGGTTGATTGGTCAAAATGGTACGCTGGTCGGCAAGATTACCTTAATTATCTCTCACACCCTAACACCAAGAAAGTGAAGAGGAGGATCAAACAGTATGATGGTAACCCATATCGCGAGGGTTGTGCTTCCAACAAGGCAGAGCCCACGACCAGGCCAGGCCTTTTGGCAAGCATTTTTATAGCAAGCTCCAGCAGCTGCTAGGAATAGTAGATGGAAACACAAGTGACTTTAAATGCACCAATAGCAAAATGCAATGCAAAGAATAATATAGTTCCTGTAAATAAAATTTACATCATGAGTCTAAGTCAAGATCTTTAATTTCCCCAGTAGAGTCGTCAGAAACTGTAGCTGGTTTTCTAGTGCTGGGTCGGAGGGGTTTTAGTCATTTTGGATACGATAGCCCTAACAGTTTGGACTCCCGGGTCGTTGGTTTTGAATCTGTTTTACAAAAAAAAAAAAAAAAAAAAAAAACCCAAATGAGAGTCCAAATCTGGGCAAATCTTTGGAAAATCGATTTACAATCCCAGAAATGCCAAAAAATGGACTGGCATTGGGCCAAATTTCAGAGTCACTACCTAATATTTTTGGGGAATTTTAGGAAACCATTGACTCGTGCCAAAGGCCACTTGTCGTCATAACGCAAAGTGTCTCGGCTCGGGAAACTTAAGTATGAGAGGGAAGGTCATGAATTGGCACGCCCTCCTACCAATCAAAGAATTGGCCTCTACTAATCATAATATGATTTTTAGTATAGTATATGCCCTTCTTTTGATTATTATGCTAACTTATCTATGTGAGGCACACAAGTGTAGACTAAGTCAGCTCGTTTTGGTAATTGCTTTGATTTTATATTTTTGTTTGAAAAAGAGTTTTGAATATGTGCTACTTGAAAAAGTCAGCACATATATGCATTAATCAAAAT